TGGCGAGCAACAAATAGCACTTAAAATCATTCACTCATACGGGTATCACAGAGTTGACACGTTCAGCTCTATCTACTCTCGTTTTGATTCAAATTTCAGTTCTTATCCTTTAATAAAGACCAAAAAACTACTCTTTAAAATACACAAATCACTTAAATTAACTTGACATAAAAAAAAAGAAATATCAGAATGATTTAATGTGGCTCCCTCTTACTGTGGCTCCATCTTATACTCTTTGACACTTAAAAATAGTGTCAAAGTAAGAAAAAAAAAACAAAATTTAGTTTTTGTTTTTTATTAAAAAAAGATACACATGCCTACGCAATTTTATACATTAATCCTTTGTAACCTTCATAAAATCTAAAGGAAAAATAAATAAAACAAAAAAAAAACTGTTTATGGTCTTTTTTCCCTCATCTTAAGTTGATAAACTGGATTGCTTTTCATTTAGAATTTTAAGGATTTTTTAAGGGTTTTTTGTTTTGTTTTTGATTTCAGCTTCAATGAATTTAACACCCATCATATTTGTATATGGTTTGGCGTTAAAATGGAATATGAAGTAAACTAAATAAAAAAAAAAACTTTTAACCTTTTCTAACTATTTTTTTTTTTTTGCTTCCTTGTATCAATTTTTCTATTCTCTTTATATTTTATTATTAGATGTAAACCGATTAAATTTTGAAAGGAAATTAGATTGTCTAGGTTCAAAATGGATCTAATATTTTTCATCTTTTTTTTAGTTATTTTTTATGACACTAGTATAACAAAATTTAAGGCAAACTCTCATCTCATATACAGAATATTATAGAAGAGAACAAATCAGAAAACAAAAAAAGAAAATGTGTGTGTGTTTGTTTTAAAAAAAAAAAACCGGGAGTCCTGAGATATGATTTTAAGTTTTATATTAACTTAAATGTAGTTAAAAGTGAAAGGCATTTTATTTATATTATTTTTTTTTTTGAAAAGAAAAATTAAATAAGAGATAAGTGGTTAAAATTTCCCGATCGGTTAGAAAATTGGAGTGTTGTTTTGATATTTTCATTAGGGACTTTTAATCATTTCGATGTATGGAACGTTTTATAGCACACATTTGATTTACGAAATATTTTCCTTCTGTTCTCGTCTTGCAAATTCTGAGACAGAGTTAGGGTTCTGGCAGACATGGAATTTTTAGTTTTACAATAATTACAGTTTGATTGTAAATTTATTGCGCGCATTCAACTGGAATCAAACTGGTGAAAAACTAAAAATTACATATCTGCCAGAGCCCCTAACAGGATTATAAAATACAGAGAATACGAAACAAAGAAAAAATATGGAAAATATGAAAAGGTAAAATAGGTAAGGCTGCAATGCAGCCAAAGTAGAATAAATCTAAAGTATACAGTAACCGGAATTGAAGTGAAAATTAAGAGATTTTATAAGAAATTTAAAATGTATTAGGCAAGCTGTTATTTTTTTGCAGACATAGTAGTGCTTTTGCCGCTGAAGGAGTTCCTTGGTATCATAGGGTGGAAGCTCACATGTGCAGAGTGGCCAGAATGATGTGACCAAGCACGGACGAGAATAGGACTAAGGCGTGATGTGAAACATTATCTTTGTACCTGTTTGTCTCTGATGTTAAAGAGAAAGCGTATCCTAAGGCTTTCTTTTTTAACGGCCAAGGAAGTTAATTGGTCCAGATAAATGGTTATAGATATGGGCTTTGCGTGATGTTAATTTAGGAACGGCCGATGGGCCTTGTTGAAGCCTCCTCTCTTACAACTACTATTACTATGGTTTTGGCTGTTTATAAATTAAAATATAAAAGGTAGCGTATTGTATACAAAATTGAATATTTTATAAATTAATGTGTAATTTAATAACAATTAACAACGATTATTAAGACTCATTTTGATTTAATTTTAAAATTTGTCATATAAATGCAAAATCTCAAGAATAACCGAGAAAATTAATCATATTCTTTTTTCATGCAGGAGAAATGAAAGGGATTTAAAGAATTGGAGAGTGTTAAAACAAAAAAATAAAACATAATAAAAAAGAAAACAAACTAGGATGAATCGACCTTTTTACGTTGATATCATAAAGAAGACATTAAATATAGTTTTTCTATTGCTTAGCTTTTTCTTTTCATTTTTGTGTTTTTGTTGTTGCTTCCTTTTTCTATACCACAAACGACACGGATATTTAAAAGTAACATGTATCCATGTACATAAATCAACCCCTAAAAAAACAAAAAAAAAATTTTTTTCGGTTGTTTTGGTTGAAGGAAGCGAAAAACTGTCATCTGTAAAAGATCTACGAACACTCATTTTCATTATTATTTTATATGTCCTTTCATATATCCTTTTTTTCCTAGTTTATATACATTTTATGATATTTTTTTTCTTATACATATTTTCTCTTTTGTAAAATTTTTCATATTTTATACACTTTTTACTTTTTATTATGGTGTAGAATTTTAAAATATTTTGTAATACCTACACTTACTTGAAGGGTAAATATTAAGTTTTCAAAATACAATATTAGAAATTTATTTAGGTATGTACAAATGTGACGTACCAGTGTCAAAAAAAAACATATATATATTTACATACAAATGTGATATTATGACATGAAGTTGTTTTAATTTATTTGAGTTGTTACAAATAAAAAAGCATATGTAAAAGAAAAATTATAATGAATTTAAGCGTACATTTTGAATACTCAAAAAAAAAGATTTTTATAATATTCGGCTATTAAAATGGAGGATTCTATGGAATTTATAATAAAGTAAACACGCTACTGCCGTAACAATGTTGTCATATTCTATACGGACCTTCTATAACAAATTATTATTATATTGTAAATTTTTAATACGGACATTATAGTGAATTATGTGTTGGGTCAAAGGTAAGCTTTTATCGGGTATAAAGGATGTGTGAGGTCTCCCCATCCTGCATTCGATAATATTTTTACAGTGGAATGGAATGGTTCAGGCGAAAATAAAACTGATTATTTTGTTTTTTAACTTGTTCGTATTAATTCCTGAGCATGAGGACTTTAAATTTCATCTTCCATGAAAATAGTTTGTCGTAATATTATTGAGAAAAATTTAAAAATTAAGCTAATTTTAAAATTTTTTAAGTTTAAAAGAGAATATCAAAAAGTTTTTGTTTTGGATTTGAGCATTGAAGGCGTTTCACTGTCTCCTTGTACTATTCGTCACAACAGATTCTACAGAATTTATTGACGGGCACATCTCCTTGGTATGAACGAGAATCAAACCAAGCTTTAGTTTAGAAATCAAAACTTATGTTTAAGAGTCCCGTTGTCTCTTTAAGAGGCGAATTGCAATTAAGTTGTGGTGGTGAAAATCCGCCGATCTAACCCAGACTCTTCCTATTCGACTAAGACCATTTCTGCCAAAAAATACTTCAATGATCTGGTGATTTCTTTTTGAACTAACAAACACGAATTTTTCAAATATTATCAATTCAACATTATATTTTGACCGACAAATTCGAAGTCTGCAGACATTTAGCTAAAGGCCAGCATATCTACAATTTACTATAAATATTAATTATTCTAGTAACAATGTCCCTAACATTTGACTTAAAATGACGTCATTTCAATTATTTCTACACCCTTTTGTTAACAGTCATTGAACTTTTGACATTAGATTTAAAATATCCTAATTCAAAGCACTTGATTTTCCATTTTTTTATTATATTTTCTTTTTAAATACTTTTCCAATTCTTTTTTAACCAAAAAAACCATATTATACACAATCACACATCGCCTTTACATACATACATTTGGTTCGAGTATATTACAATTTTACATGTGTAACAAAATTTTAAATTGCGTGCTTGTGTTCTTTCTTTTTTCGTTTTCTAATTTAATGTTTATTTTTTGACAGATAGAATAAAACAAAAAAAAAAAACAAAAGCAACCATAAACCAAACACAATTTTTTTCAAATATAAAAAGTGAGAATAAAAAACAAACAAAAATTCAGTTAAAAAATAAGAAAATTCATTTAGTTATCCTTTTTTAGTATAGCAGAAGAGAAAAAAAAGAAAACAAAGTAAAATTGTTATGATAGCATAACGGAATAGAAAAAATTAAAATAAAACAGGCAGGAGACTTGAAATCCTTAAATAGATTATAAAATCATATCATGTTATGACGGGTTATTCTGAATTTCGTAAATTCCAATACGCTTGATTTCATCTACAACCCTGTACCTCACCTTCCATCTCAAGAGCCTTCTATTCTCTTTAATTCTAAAATTGTTATAGGAAAAAAAAGCAAGGCTTCCACTTTTGTTTTCATTTTTTTTTATTTTCTTTCTCTGTGCATAGTTTCTTTTTATGCCTATATGTTTTGTGAGTCCTTTTAAGAATTTTTTTTTTTGTGCCTGTTATAAGGTTATTTATATTCAAATTGGTATTAGTTTAAATGTACAAACAATTCAAAAGGAATAAAAGATTTGAGAATCCTTTCTTTTTACAAAAAAATTGTTTTCCATGGTATTGCTTTTTTTTCTGCTACTTAACAACACGCGTAACTACTTGTATATATTCACACACAATATATGTATATAGTAAATTATTACAGAGGAAAAAAATAATAATGGAAATTGTGTTTTAGTTTTTTTTTTTTGGGGTCTTTTGCTATTTTGTTTCCAAGGAAAAAATTTAATTCAGGATTAGTCAAGTGACGTTAATTCGTTTAAATTGTTACTTGTTCTCTTTTTTCTCTTTTATTGAGTTTATATTGCATGTCTATATAAAAATAGTTTGTATTATATACATATATATACATAAGGATGTGTCGTGACGCACAGATTCGAATATATATAGAAATGTTGTCGAAAATATGAAAGTGAAAAAATTAAGTTATTCGGTTGATTTTTTAGAAAATTAAAAAAAGAAAAATATGAAAAAAAATTCATTCGTTTCACTATGTCTGTCCATCCTAAAGCTCGAAAAAGAAAATTGAAATTTTAAAAAAAATATTTTTTTTATTGAGCCCAAGACTAGTTGTACTATTAGGCCAATTCGTGATTGAGTGGGGGAAAAAGGCCTAGCACTCTACCTATTTCCAAAAATCAGGTTAATATTTGTGACTTCACTGAAGTCTCTTAGTTGTTAAGCTGATAAGAAAAGATACTACACTTTGATCTTAGTCATAAGGTCGAGAAGCCGATATAAAATAATTTCTTTAGCAAAGAAGTTTTCACCTATCTTCTATTTTATTCAAATTACGCCCCCAAACACTGTTGTAGGAACGGCAATATTTAATAGTTTATTGTATTGAAGTTCTTAAGTAATTTTTGAATAGAGTGGAAGTAGAAATTTTGTAAACTATTTTCGCTATTGCGAGAAGCTGTAAGAAAATTTAAATTTAACTTTTAAAATTTGCTGCAATTATAAGGTTACATTGTTTTATTTCTAATATTATTTTTCTGCTAGGCGGTAAGTCTAAGTTGTTAAACATTTCAATATGTCTTGGATATTAAGAAATGTTTTATACTTTATTAGAATAATTTTAAGTGACCTTCGGGCTATGTGTTCTACCTCAAATTTTGGCAAAATTTTAGTTTTCGAACAATTATTTCTTATAAATTGTAAATTAAGTGGTATTAGGTGACAAAAAGTATTTTCTTATATTAAAAATAGATAGGTCGCACTGCTTCACTTAATTGCCTGTTTAATTATATTTACGGTATATAACATTTTTCGGATCAGTGCACTTTTTTTTACCATTCCTCCTAAATCTGTTGAACAAGACGGTTATAAGAACATTTTATATTTTGGTCACTCTACTAACCAGGGTAGTATTTTCGTCTTTAAAATCTCAAAACTGTATTATATTTTTGGATTTAAAATATCGAAAGGAATTGTGCTACTTTACAAAACCATACATGACTGACTCTGATATTTTTAAAATTTTCTGTATGTGCTTTTACTCATTTTATTTCTCTTATATTATATGAACGGTAAGAATTTATTTCGAAAAACATTGGTGTATATTAAATCATAAGAAAAATCGTAAGGTTAAAAATATAGGGTAGTTAAGTTATTTTATTTTTTTGTTTTTGCTTTGTTGTTCAAAAGCAATATAATCTAATGATATAAGTTTTAAAATTTTAGAATTTTATTGTAATATGTAGAAGAGTTGATAGGGGGCGGGAAATAGAAAAGATAGATTGGGTAAATGAAGTGCGTAGAATAAATATTTTGAAGTCAAAATGATTGAAAATGATAAGCACTTATAAAATTATGTTGTTATTTTTTTTTGAGTTTCTATATAATAGAGGGCTTATACGTATATATATACATTTATTTATGCATAATAATATGTTATGTGTAGATTGATATACAATATATTAGAATGGTATGGTATGAGAAGTTGAATTTATGAGATTGTGTTAAATAAATGTTATTGAATTCAAAATTTGTGTTTATAAGTGTTCTAATATGTACAAATAAAAATAACACTTTGAATTTATAAAATTATTAAATAAATTTATAAAAATTTGGTGACAATACATATGTGAAGAGACCTACCATTCTTTGTTTTTGTCAGTTTTTTTCGGTATAGAAAATTAGTGAATTCTGTAAAAACTTAGGTTGAATTGAAGAAAATTAAAAATTTGTTTTTTCATTTTAATGTATGTATATTCAGAACAATTATCGCCGCCTCAGAATTAGAGTGCAATACAATCGAAAACCAAACAAAAATTACGTTTGAATGCAGTCTTTTTCCTAGTTGCCTTAATTTACCAAATATTTTGTGGAGATTTTGCTGTAAACGCTACGAAATAACTCAAAATTCTATTGCAATTTCTCAAAATTGTATTTTTTGAAATTCTAAGACGACGTTATATGAAGTAGAAAAAAATTTGATTAGCTGAATTTTCAAACACTTAATACAATATTTGGGACCAATATCTGGTTAATGTAGTGTTCAATAATCGTTTGAACCAAGCGCTATTATTGCTTGGCTTGTTTATTTGATATTGTGGGTTTAACAACTGTGAAGTGAGTTTCGGCAGATTGTAATTTCACCAAATTTCTACATTGCATGTCTCTACATTTTTATTAAACCAGTTGCACATAGTTGCTTAAGTCCATATCATTCAATTGTGCCTACAAAAAATTGATTATCAAGCTACGTTATTCGCCTTTACGTTGATAATAATTGCACCTCCCTTGTCATTTCCAAAGAAATATAAAAGAAAAATTAAATTATTGCAATTTTTCAATTATTACTTACGAGAAAACTCGTACTCGCAAATTTCGAAGAATAATCCACAATTTTTATCCACAAAATTTTAAACCAATAATTTAGTTTATAATTTTATAAATCATGCATGATTTTGTAATTTTTTGCAATTTATTCTTATTTATTTCGAAGTTATTTTTCTATAAAATATCAAAATTTTTACAAATATTGTTCTAAAATCTTATATACGATTCAACGCATGCATATTATGAAAAATTCAAGTTGATATTTAACAATATAAATTTTCAAATTACTAGGACCAGTCATCTTTTACAAAAAATTTAAATGGATAAATTTAAAAGGATTAATTATATTATTTTGTTTAATGTTGAAAAATGAAAATCTCATTCTTTTACTATATGGGAAGTGTTAAGCCTAAAAATTTGTTATTATTTCCAATTTGTTCTTCTATATTTATAACAAGATTTTTGAAAGGATATCAAGGAATATTAATTGTACATATACAATCCTTTATTATATAATATTATATTTTCTAATTTTTATGAATTTATACATAAATTTTCTAATGTAAGAGGATGTAATTGTTTAGATATATACATATATATAATGTTTATATATTTATTTATATACAAATAAGGTACTGGAACAAGTTTTTGTTATAATGAAATTTTTACCGGTATTTAAGTAATTACAATATAATTTGTATACCTTTATGAAAATCATTCCTTTTTTTACTAAATATGTAAAATTTATTTTCTTATAAGCATTATATTTATATAATGATATGTATGAGTATATATTATAATAGTTTTTATTTAAAAAGGATAATTGAGGATTACATGATATAATAAATGAAAACAATAAATTGTTTTATTTTAAACAATTGAAATTGGATAGTAAAGCAAGTATAGTTTTTGTATTAAAATATTCAAATAATAAGAAAATTATTTCAGAAAAAAAATTTTCTGGAGGGTTTTGATTAATTAAAAAATTAAATTGACCATAAAATTTTTAAATGAATTTTTGTATTTTTGTGTAAAATATAAAAGATACTAAATAGAAAGGTATTGTAAAAGTTTTGGAATATTGCTAAGGTAGGAGTAGAACTACCAATTTCTAATTGAATTACTGATTTTCTTTTAAATGAAAACTCATATATTCTACCAAATTGTGTGTGTGTGTGTGTGTTATTAAATTCAAATAGCAGTTTAAACACAAACTCATATTAAGTCACAAAATTAATGTATTGCCCGATGGTTGATGATTATTACTGGTTGATAATTATCATTATTATCATTCTCCTATCTATCATAAGTTTAACTTAATAAAATAATTGAATGATTTGGATAATACTGAATTTAATTTTTATTTTAATGATCTTCGAACTTCTAAGTAATTCTGTCTGATTTAAATTGGAATATGTTAGCTCTTTTAAATATTTGTGTGTGATTTTAAATAGAAAATTTGATTCATCGCAGAACACAAAATATTTAAAGAAATATTTTTATGGTATAATTGGACAAGTTTACTATTTAATTGGTCAGATTGGTTCGCAAAGTTTACTAACTCACTCTATTATACTTTATTTCAATTAAGGCTACAATATTGAATTATGAATTAACGGATGAAACGCATGATGTTTAATTAAGACAGCTTCTTGTATAATTTGTCGAGTTTATATGTTTAATGTTATGTTCTTAATTAAAAATATTGCCATTGAAATATCTCTATTTTTTTCGGGCTCTTAAAGAAATTCTTAATTTATTTTTATTATAGAAACTCTTCATATTTTCACTATAAAGATCATATAATTTACTGTCTTATGGCATTTCTTTAATTTTTTTTAGTCCTAGACTCTGTTCACAGATATTAAATTGTGGCTTTTTATATTTGATCATGCTGCAATTTGGCAATTCGTTTGATTTATTTATTTGATTTTAAATGATTCTTTTTTAATGATCGTATATTATATTTGTATATTTCGATTTTTTTTAATTTTTCTTCAGAATTTCGTAATTAACTTTAATTTGGATTATTCCACAATTATTTTGTTAACTTACTGCATTCACCGCTGCAATTATTTGCTCAGAATGCTCAGAAATGAAATAAGATTTGAATTGAATTGAACTGAAACACTATTAAAAATATTGTTAATAAATTGTGGTGGATTTAATTGAAATTTGACTAAGCTTTGATGTGTAGGTCTCAGCATATTTTGTTTGGTAGAAAAAAATAAAATAAATTTCTATCAAATGCTAGCCTAGTTTTACGATCATATCGTTTGCTAATACTATTTAAATTCTATTCTAATGGTTTGTACATTGAACTCTTATAGATTCAAGTTTAAGTATCTTGTTGCTACGAAATTATTCCTCTTCTAAAACCTCTTCAATTTTAATAAAATAATAAAAATTATTTCAAGGATATTACTGGTTTTTTTCATTTTTGGCATTTTACCATTTTATATATTGAATTATTTATTATTAGAAGTTGAAGTTAAAATTATATAAGTAATTTATAAGAACATCATGTTCCTGACGTCAAAAAACTATTAAATTTAAGTTTTGATTTTACTTTTAACCTTTCATCACAATATATAAGAGTTTAACTTTTTGGTTTTGATTGTAATAAAAAGTATGTACATACTTATATGAGTTCTTTAAATACTCATTTATTGTTAAGTACTAAAATTAAAACTCTTAAATTTTAAATCTCTACAAGTTCACAAAAAAAAAGAGCAATAAAAAAAATTAAAAGATTTTTTTTGTTTTTATATACACTTTTTGTTATAGCGAAAATTTTCACCATTTTTCTCTTTCTTTTTGATTTTTTTTTTTTGGTGAATTTTCTTCTCAACTATATTTCTCTATTTTTGCGTGTTATTTTATAGTATTATTATTTTTATTCTTTATTCTATACTGTTATTTTGTTAAACACCATCTTAAAAGAAAATAAAT